TTTTTGGTTCCGGCCGTCCTGGCCCAAGCGATCGGATGCGAGCCTCAAAGTCGGCCAAGTCAATCCACCGGCCGCTGTGCGAGAGGACGACGTGACTATGGGCTTCTCGGAGACGGTCCGCGTTGGAAACCCTGCGCGGCACCTCCCGTCTGCCCTTCGAGGTCGCTGTGGGTCGGAATTGATGGAGTAGGGGCATTTTGGTGGGTGTAGACCTTCCGCCCGGACCACTTCCGGATAGCGCTGCCACGGGGAAGGGGCGGGCAGTAGCCTCGGTGAATGAATGGGAGGCCCGAGCGCCCCGCTCCCAGTCTGGGGCCCGGAACCCCTCTGTCTGGTGGCGTCACCCCTGTGTCTCCGGCGGGCAGGATTCAATGCATGTTCGCTAATGGGTCTCCTTTCCGCAGAGGACATAAAACTCCGCTTACAGATAGGAGTTCACACCCTGGTTGGGTGAATAAAGTGAACTTGTAGGCCAAGTCCAAGGCCCTGGATGGAAATGATGAACGAGAGCGCTAGGTGATAATTCATGTTTACAGAGCGAACATGCCACTTTCCCGGCGCCTTGTATTAGAAAGAAGTGAACAATTATCTAGCCCACTCAGACTCGTGGTGCCCCACGTGTTTCGGGACAGAAGCAGATGCAGACCGTTTTTTCTGAGCAGACCAGCGTGGGCTTAGAGCTCTGAACCTTTGGGTAGCCTGGCGCCCAACTGTTTGTGGTACTGTTGAGGCTGATAAGGCGCTAAGCCCGAGAAAACCCAAACTCACTTGTAAATCTTTATGGAAGCAGACCATCAGTATCTTTCTTCCTCGGACGTCGCTGGGTTTTTTAACGTTCCAGGCAGAGTAAAAGCCTGTAAGCCAGCTGTTTTCAAATAGGAATAGTGGGAACATCCATAGGTTATGTGGGCTGACTTCAAAGGCTCCATCCCCATCTTTGGAGTCAGACATGAACGCAAAGCCTTCCACCACTTACTTTCATTTTTCATGACTCCCTACTAGCTTCTGTTACTTTGTTTGTGAAATGGTAGGGTTGTACTGAAGTACTAACCGAAACCCACACAGAGTCTCAATATTGCTAGGACTTTCTCTTTCAGTGATGGATCCATAAAGTTAGAAGTTAGGTGATAAGTGATGTCCCCTTACAAAGAAAGATGCTAGGGACGGCTAGTACTAGTTGATACAGAGTTTCATGGGATTCACTTGTTAAAAATGTCAAGAATTTTGTTTTCCAGGTTTTTTTACACTGGTAATATGAAAAATTATATACACCTATGTGGGAAACAGAAAGATTTCTTCCAAGTTGCTCCCCCAAGAATATCCCACACTTAGCTGCTTGCTACATGTGGCAGATGACTCAACAGAAGTAGGTCAGGGGTTATTCTCCCTAAGGGTTATCAGCCATCCAGAGTAAGCAGATACCACTGTTTATCCCACAACCAGTAGGGCCCACTCCCTTCTGATAAGGATAGTAGTAAATTGTTTCCCTGAAGGAGAGCCCAGGGAGTCTAACCCACTGAAGGGTGACCAAGGTTAGGCCGCCATCATGAATCTAGGGTCTGCCCTTCTTGTCACATGTATACCCCTAGTCCCTCCCCTTCCTACTGTGTGCACACCCCTAACTCATCCCCTTCCTGTCACACTTATGCCTATTGTATATTCCCCTCCTATTGCTTGTATGCCTATTGTACTGCCCCCTCCTGTGATATGTGGTTACCTGTAATCACGTCCCCCTAAGTAGATATAAGCCTTGGTTATCAATAAATGGGGGTCTCTGCCCCACCCTTGCTGGCTCGCTCCCCTGCCATCTGCCTACGCTGTGCATGGACCCAGCAAGATAATGGTCATCCAGGAGGTGAGCATGCTACCATGAAATGTGTCTGACTTATTTACTTGACTCTCTTCTATCTCTCATGCTTTCTGTGACTTTACTATAATCTTTATATATCTTAACCGTACAATTGCCCCTATCGAACCTGCGATTAGTTGTGGGGGGCTGGCCTTTCCCCACACACACCTACATGAAATAAATTTTATTAAAAACAAAGACAATATATATTTAAAACGATGACTTATTAAGTTTTTTACGAAATGTTGTTATTTATGCCCTTGTGAGGCAGACTAGCAAAGGAAACTCTATTTTTGCTAGCTGCTGACTGACTTGCCTCCTTCCCCCTCCCATCTCGGAAAGTCCCACTAGTGATTGATTTTATAATGTACTCTTATGTTTTCGAGATCAGAACATTGTAATTAATAATATTGTTCCTTTTGATATTGTAACCAGGAATCAGGTTGTTTTAATCAATGCTGTACCCTGTAACATTCACTAACTCTAAGGAATAGTAAAAATAATTTTGCTTTCTGCTTCTGTCCACACTTGCTTAAGTTCTAGATTTTCTGATGGGAGGGATGGCCACCTCAAGATTGTGGAAATGGTGGTTGCTGGACCTTTTGGGGAACCCTTGCTTAGTAGTGTAAGGTAGTCAAGAGGCACCAAATCAGTCAAATTAGAACAAACAGGCTTTATTAGGGAGAAAAACACCCCAGCCTGGGCGAAGTCCCACAGTCCACAATGTCTGGGCTGGGGGAGTCGCATTGCAGGCTACAGGGCTGCGGCTTATATGGACAGGTATGTCCGGGTTTCTGGAATGTAAGGTGTCTTCCTGGTTCCGGGTGTATTTGTGCCGGGGGCAGAGTGGTGGGCAAGAACAAAGCGGGCACTGAGCCAAATGGGCCATGCCTGTGCCGGGTGCAGAGCGGCAGGTGGAGAACAATGATTATCACTGGTGAAGGAGAGAGAATTTCTGCTTAGGGGACATTGAGTTGGTATTAATGGTGGTGGAATAATTTGGAAAAGGATATCAATAAGGGTTGTACAACATATAGAGTATAATAAATGGCACTGAATTATAAATGTAGAAGCTGTTGAATTGGAGAATTTTTTTGCGTATATATATATTTATTTATT